ATGGATATTTAAGAAAATGTGAAAGAGAAGGAGGATATCAAGATTTTCTTAACTAGGATTTCAATCTTGAATTTAATATATTATGTGAAGTAATTACCGGCTTTGTAAGTGTCTGAGTTCAAGCTCCAAGTTTTCATTTATTTCTTTCTGTTCATCCAGAGATCTCTGGAGCTCATGGATCTGATTCAGGGAATCATCAAGCTGAAAGCAAAGTAGAAAGTGCTTGAATTAAGTGACTGAAATAAAGAAACCCATCATTTCCATGCCTTCTCATCAGTAGTTCATGCATGGTATCTCTTGTACATATGTGTGTATCTATGGAAATAGTCACACATTATTTTCAGTAATGGAATGAATGCACAAATTCCATAATAAAATATACATCTTGGTGACAACTAGAATATTTGATAAAAATCTTTCCTATCTAGGTACTCCTCCCCCATCCCTACTGCTACCTCAGCTACCTAAATAAGCCATTGCCCTAGAACTACATTTATTACCCCCACGGCTTAGAAAAGACATCACATGTGATGTACATGTATATACATTATACATATGTATATACATATACATTCATGTGTGTGTATGTATACATGTTATATATATATATGGATATATGTGTTAAGCATATTATATGCTAACTGTACATATATTGTATATAGATGTGTATAAAAATATTTTTAAAAACATATTGATCTTAGTTTAACTTAAACATAAATAAAAGGGGTATGGTGCTGCAAGCAGTTTTCAGTGAATTGCCTTTTTTATTCAATCACTAAGTTTCAACTTTATTTTATTTGTTATGATAATCTATTTCTTTTATCTTGTCATTTCTCCCATATCCTTTAGCTACTCTCTGCTCAAGGGCAAGTTTCAAAGCTTTTTCCGATGTCCACTTTGGTCTTTTCTTCCTGTCTCTTTAATAACCTTTTGCTTTCTTCATGAATGATGTTCTTGACATCATCCCACAATTCCTCTGGTTTTTGGTCATTGGTGTTCAATACATCAAAACTATTCTTTACATGGTCTCTAAATTCAGGAAGGATATAATCAAGGTCATATTTTGCCTTTCATGGACTTGTTTTGTCAGCTTCAACTTGAACTTGCATGTGAGCAACTGATAGTCTGTGTTCTACAGTCAACTCCTGGCCTTGTTTTGGCCAAAGATATTCAGCTTCTCCATTGCCTCTTGCCACAGCTGTAGTCGATCTGATTCCTGTGTACTCCATCT